ACCCTTCCTGACCGGCTACCTCTACATCAGGGAAACCAAGCGGAGGCTCAGGGACCGCTTTGCAGAACACCTACGCTCGGTTCGCAATAAACAACTGCACCTCCCAGTCGCGAACCATTTCAACTCCCCCTCCCATTCCTCAGATGACATGTCCATCCTGGGCCTCCTGCAATGCCACAACGATGCCACCCAAAGGTTGCAGGAACAGCAACTCATATTCCACTTGGGAACCCTGCAGCACAATGGCATCAATGTGGATTTCACAAGCTTCAGAATCTCCCCTCCCCCTACCACATCCCAAAACCAATCCAGCTCGTCCCCGCCTCCCTAACCTGTTCTTCCTCCCACCTATCCCCTCCTCCCACCTCAAGCCGCACCCCCATCTCCCAACTACTAGCCTCATCCCGCCCCCATGACCTGTCCATCCTCCCTGGACTGACCTATCCCCTCCCTAACTCCCCACCTACACTCACCTTTACTGGCTCCATCCCCGCCTCTTCGACCTGTTTGTTTCCTCTCCACCTATCCTCTCTTCTTTCCATCTTCTATCCACCTCTCACTCTCTCCCTATTTATTTCAGAACCCCCTTCCCCTCCCCCTTTTCTGATGAAGGGTCTAGGCCCGAAACGTCAGCCTTTCTGCTCCTGTGATGCTGCTTGGCATGTGTTCATCCAGCCCTGCACCTTCCTGACCTTGTCTGCTTTGTGGATTAGTTCAAAGGGCTCATTCTGTAGGGAGGTGGAGACATGCTGAGGCTCCCTTTTGCAACTGCTACAGATTCACATCATTAAACAGCCAGTGAATGGGATCCCTTGTATATATAGTTTGTTACTGAAGCACTTTTATGTCCCCTTCCCTTTTTTGTAAAGATTCAAGTATTAATTATTAAGCAGCAAGTTTAATAATTGACACTTGTTGAGGCCATGATGCTAGTGAAACAATGTCTGGCAGCAATTATTACATAGCATCTCCAATGCTTTGGAAAGAAAGACTTTGTATTTCTATGGCACCTTTTTAACCACATTTTTCCATAACCCTTGATTCCCATACGGACTTAAATCTGTCCATCTCAGCCTCAAATGTACTTAATGATCCAGCCTCTTCAGCTTCGAAATAGTCAACTTACCATGACCAAAGCCTCAAACTATTTTTGGGGTGAGGGAAGAGAGTTCCAGATTTACAATCCTTTGTCTTGTATTAGTGTAGAAATTACAGTAACCAAATATGTGTGCAGCAAGGCCCCACAGCGCTTTCCTTGAAGCGTTGATTTGTTTCGACACTTAAGAGAACTCCTTTGCACTTCCTCAAAACTCCATGGAATGTTTTTGTATCTGCCTAAGAGGGCAGATGGGTTTAACATTTGATATAATTCCAGAGATTTGACACCTCCCATGCCTTGGCGCACACTCCATGTACAGTGTTGGGTAAGATGTGTTCAAGTCCTGGAGCAGGAGTTTAAACCACAACTTCCTGTTTTAGAGATCACTTAGCCAAGGTTGTCACCTAACTCTCGCATTCTGTCTTTTACACAGAACTTGTATGTCAAATATCCTGATGCTAACACCATTGTGGCCCACCACCCCCATCTTATCCTTCAATGTTGCACTTGCCAGACAATCTCAGTACTGCCTGACAGATGTACATCGAGTACAAGGTTGTTGTATCATTTACCATAAGAGCTGGCTCTCAGTCCTGTTTTTGATATTTTCCTAATCAACCTGATCATAGATGTTATTTCACACCCCTGGAGCAGGTAGGTCTTGAAACTCAGGCAGGAACATACCACTGGGCAAGAAGAGCCCTTAATGTCTAGTTTTGTCTTCAGCACAGAAGGAGGCCATTCAGCTCACGCCTTCAGATGGAATTCTGTTTTTCCCCTATTTCCTTGCCCTTTCCCTGGATCATTTTTGAATTAGCAGGGTTGAGATATGGTTTATAAAATACATTGGAAGTATGGTAATCTAGCTGGGTGAGCTTATTTTAAAAAGTAGCAACTTCAAATTTCAACATCTGTCACAGGGAAGTCCATACAAGAAAGATGTCCTCTTTAAAATAAAAGGTTAGTAACTTCTTGTCAGTTTCTTCAGTAATTCCAAACTTTATTGAAGCTTGAACTGATCAGTTTTTAATTCAAGGCATATGTTTGCTTCAGTTTTACTGATGCACAGTGACAGCTGTACGTACAGATACAAAATGCAGTGCAGCAATTCACCAAGGCTCCTCTGATAGCACCTTTCTAATCAATAATCCCTACAGCCAAGAAGAACAAGTGCAGCACAAAGAGGACCACTACCACCCCCAAGTTCGCCATGAAAACTTGTCCCATCCTGACTTGGGAATATATTGCTGTTCCTTCAATGGAACGTCCTCCCGATGTTCTTGCACCACAATGAGTGCAGTATTTCAGGAGGTCGTCTCACCACCCTCTCCTGGGTAATTAAGTGTGGACAATAAATGCTGACCCAGCCAGTGACACCTACATTCTATGATAGAATTTTTAAAAAATCAGCTTTAAGAGTTGGTGGTCCTCTTCAAAAGCTTAATATTGGTAAGCTGGGGCAAGTCCTCTGTTTCACTTGAAAATTAATTGCAGTTGCAATTTCTAAACAAAAACAGTTTCTAAATATCCCACAGGGAAAGTAGTCTCCAGCTGTAAGATTTAATTAGTTGTGTTAGCTTTATCTCAGCTGGTAGCAATCCTGCCTGAGTCAGAAGGTCATGGCTTCAGATCCTAACCAGAGAACTGAGCACATTATCCAGGCTTACACCTCCAATGCAGTGCTGAGGGACTGTGGCATTGTTGGAGGTGCTGTCTTTCAGATGAGCCATTAAAACCTGATTCCATCTGCTCTCTTAGGTGGGTATGAAAGATCCTACTGTACTGTTGGTTGAAAATCAAGGGAGTGCTGTCTGGTGTCCAAACCAGTAACTTTCCTTCAGTTAACACCAGATCTATCTTTTGTTTAAGGATCATACTGTTGATTTGCAGAAAATGTTTGCTGTTCTCCCTTCTAAATAGTTTGTTTTAAGAAGGTGGATAGAGGCAGACAGCACAGTGGTTAGCACTGCTGCCTCATAGCACCAGGGACTTCAGTTCAATTTCAGCCTTGGGCAGCTCTCTGCGTGAAGTTTGCACATTCTCCCCACGTCTGCATGGGTTTCTCCCAGGTGCTCCAGTTTCTTCCCACAGTCCAAAGATGTGTGGGTCAGGTGGATTGGCCGTGCTGAAACTGTCCATAGTGTTCAGGGATGAGTAGGCTAGGTGGATTAGCCATGGTAGACATAGGTTTAGGGGGTTACTCTGGGGGTCACTCTGGGGGTCTGGGTGGTATGTTCTTCGGAGGGTCTCCAGACTCTAGGGGCAGGATAGCTGTCGTCTTCACTGTAGGGATTCTGTTGACTGTAGGTACAGGCTGTGGAGAAGGAAGGAAGGAGGGAGGGAGGGAGAGAGAGAGAAATGGGTACTTTGAATCCACGTCTGATTTGCATTTCTTCAATCTCTGCAACAGAACTGAACAGCTGTAGAGGATGACTTTTTGTCCTGTTGAGATTGGAGGTAATGAAATGTGTTGCAATAGATATGTAATATGTTTGTAGCCTGGGAGCTGTCACTTTAAAACTAAAGTGGCCCAGAAAAGGATGGGTAAGGGAAGGAGGGAGGGAAATAGTGATTATGTCACTGGTTTAAAGATCCAGATACCTGTTTGAATCCCATCTAGACAGCTGAGGGTACTGTATTTCAATTTAGGTGATTTGGAAAACTCTGAAATAATAAATCTAGTATCAGTAATGGTCACTATTTTAAAAGCGGTATGTCTTAAAAATCCAACTCCTATTCTGAAACCTTTCAAGATAGAAGGACAACAGGAATCCTGTCATGTATAACCATGAACAGCATACATTGAGGCCATTCAACCCATCATGTTACTTTTCTGAAAGGACATTTCACATAGTTATGTTCACCTCCCTTTTTTCCTGCAGTCTAACTTTCTTCCTCCAGATAATTATCCAATGCCCTTTTGAAAGCCATGATTGAAGCTGCATCTACCCCACTTTTGCAGCACATTCAGGATCTTAACCACTTGCTATGCTGTTTCTTCTTTCTAAATAAAATGTTTCCTCATTCCCTTGGGTGCTTGTGCCATGAATGAAGTAAAAAAATAAGATATCAAATCAGTCCCAAATCTCTTTCCAATATCCAGGATTGCACCCGAGGACGTTTTAGATTTTCAGTGAAATGCTCTTCCAACCGAGCCCTCTTCGTCAAACATAGTCCCACACCTCTTATTCCCACTGATGTTTCTTCTCTTCGCACCCCACCCCACCAACCAACAGTTAGTCTAAACCAATTACACAAACCACTTGAACCGCTTGCTGCCTTCAAACTATTCCTGTCACCAGGGGCTCACTCGGCTGTGCCCATCAGTCCTTCACGCTAGTATTATACAACAAAAAAAATACCAGATGTGTGTCTAAGAGGTAAAGCTGTACGTTGTGCTGTTTGAAATTCAAGTTAAGGTGAATTTTCCTTTGTTGAATCCCAGTCATGGCTATTACCTCTAACTAGCCCTGAGATCACAAGCTTTGAAAAATGAGACTGAAGAATACAGTACACAAATTTCGAGACTTGACCAGAGGAAGGCTCAGAGCTTCCCACCTTCCAGTGGAGATTCGAAAACTAGGGTTAGGTCACTGCTTCAGGACAAGGGCTCGGCCATTTAGGAATGAGATAAGGACAGATTTCCTCTCTGAAATTCATTACGAGGACGGCTGGCTGCTCATTTGAGGCCACGATCCTTGACGCTAAGAAAATTGAGACGCGGGCAGAGTGAGAGTTTGGACAGCAGGCGTAATCTCGCCGTATGATGGACGAGATTGGGGGGGGGGGTGCTGAATGGCCGCCTCCCAGCCCTGTTTCGCACGTTCCTGCCGGAGCTAGGGGCCAAAGTGATTGCTATCTGACTTTAACAACACTAACGAATGATTCTTCTCTGTGCCAGGTTCGCTGAGGTAGACGCCTGTCCTCTGGCCGGCCCCGCTCTCCAGCCCCATCCCCCTTCTTTCCCCTACACCACCCCCCCCCCCAACCCGTCTTTAAGGCCAGTGGCCTTGCCCCTTCTTCCCCGCCCCCGCCGCCCCGGTGTCCAGCAGTGTGTGGAACCCCGCCACACCGCCCGCCCGCCGCACCACGGCCTTCACCTGCGTCTTCCAGTGTTTCCCGTGTGAACCGACCTGCCTCGGCGCGTCGTGGAGCAGCCCGGAGTTCGCGCTGCGTCCGGTGGCCCCCATGGTGAAAATGACGCGATCCAAGACTTTCCAGGCCTACCTGCCGAGCTGCCACAGGACCTACAGCTGCATCCACTGTCGAGCCCACCTCGCCAACCACGACGAACTCATCTCCAAGGTACTGACCTCATCGGGACTCGCTGTTTGGTTTTCCTTTCTTTTTGTGGGGTGGGGGTGACAGGGGGTCGTGGAGATTAGCTGCCCCATTTCATGGAAAAACCCGTTGCAGAAAACCGTTTCCCGGTGGACACGTGCCACAGAGCTACTGTACCGCCAAAAGTTTGAAAACACCAATCATGAGCTCCCATCATGTCACGTGATACAATTCATCGTCCGGCATCCGTTCCCAGGACGACGGGTCATAAACGGTGTGGCCTTTCTGTCATGTTTGTACAGTGTGTGCATGGGAACTTCCATAGGTTTGACGATGAAATGGGAAAAAGCAAAAAGCCAACTGAGCGTCTGTTGAATGGTTGGTGCAAGTGTTTGATTCCTTGGTCACTGAATAGCGAGGGATGTTGACTGAGCACAATTACCTGGAGAGTGTAATGCACTTGATGCTTAAAGGTAGAGCTGTCCTTGTCCCAGATGACTTTAGCACTGATCTCTCATGGGGGGCGGGGGGAGAGAGACCGCCAGTGGGTGTCTTAACCTCATTCACCATGCTTCAGTTGAGGTTGAGAAGGTGAGACCTTGATGTCAGACTTAACCAGTGAGGGAACTGAACCAACACTGTTGGCATCAGTCTGCATTGTGAACCAGCCATCCAACCAACTGAGCTAACCGATTTTCTCCCCCCACTCAATCTCGACACAAGTGCTACAGCGTGAGACTGTGTCTGTTTGGTGAATGTTGTTGGACTAGGGGTGGAAATAAGTCCTTCATTGACATTGGCATTAAATAAGAGATCTCTGCTCCTGTCCAGAGGTTCCTGTTGCATTAAGTCATTCACTAGACCAGCCATTGTGGATGTATTACATTTGAGATTGCTGTCAAGATCCCACCTTCTCAACCCCTCCCTTCATAAGAGATGTAGTGACCCTCAAGTTAAACCAGCACCAGTCATCTCTCCCTAATGCGAGAACAATCCTATGGTCTTCTGGGACTATGGGACTGCTCATATTAGACTTAGCAGTTCCACATGGCACTTTCTATTAAGATTGGAGTGTCTAAAGTTATGAAGGGCTTAAATACAGTGAATATGAAGGACCTTTTGAAGTCTGTAACTACTGGGTTCTTGATTTGTGGTCAATGGTAGAAGAGTGTAGAAGTGTAGGTTTTGTTCAGCCAGAGGGTCTCATCTATATCTCCCTCCCTGAAAGAATTATGGAGGCTGAAACCCTCTTCTTCTTTTATAAAAAGAAACACTTGACTCTTCTATTGAAATGCTGTCACAAACAGAGTGAGGGATCCAAAGCTGGAATGAGGGATGAGGCTGGATAGCTTTTTGCTTTGATCACTACAGATGTCATGGAACGAATGGCCTCTTTATGTGTCACTTCCTTCTGTTGAATCCCGTGTGGGTTAGCTCAAGACTGATACAGTCCCAGAATCTTTTTCAGTGAGTACTTGCAGTGCATGGTACAGATGGAAGCTAGTACCAGCAGTTGAGGGAAAAGGGGGTAGATGGTTTCTCCAGTGAAGATAGATGTAAAAGGCTGGGTGGAGGCTCAAGTGGAGCATTAATACTGGTGAGGCTGTGGCCTCTTTCTGTGCCATGTTGTCTTGGGTAAGTGGTTTCACTGGTTCTTGATTCCAAAGAATCTCCTGAATTTCCTACATGGCATGACATATCCATTGCTTGGGAGGTGCAAGTTTTCACCTAGGGACCTGCATTTTTATCTTGAGTCCACTTCCTGGGATAGGCATCTCCTGGATTCTACTCCGTTATTTACAAGATCTGTTGGCCACTCAGTTCTGTTGTTGTGCTCCCTGCAATCATTGTTCATTCACCCACTTGCTTCATGATCAGACGACCAACCAGCACCCACCACACTCCCCACCCCACACTCCGTCTTGCTCTCCCAGCGTGTGCCTGACTCCCTGAGGATGAATTCTCAGTAAATTATGTAGATAGAGGATGCTGTAATTAACACCGGAGTGAATGACATAAAGCTACCATGTTGATAAAAAAGCTTAAGGTTCACCTTAAGAAAATAAGGGGCATACATTTATTAAAAATAGGGTTTCATTGAATCACATCCGAAACATTCCGGGGTTCCTGCAATGAAGCACTCAAGTTTTGCTTAGGTAGACTGATGCCGCAGCCATTTCTGCCCACAGTGCAATACCAGAAATAAAGATATCAACTAATCGGTGCTTCGCCCTGCCATCGTCAGAAATTAGAGAAGTTACCTTGCTCCAGTGAGGAGACCTTCAAACTGCATCTGAAGAGGTAGATCACTACAGATCAAACCCCAATTCAGTGTCAAAATCAGAGACAACAAGGTGCAGGGCTGGATGAACACAGCAGGCCAAGCAGCATCATAGGAGCAGAAAGGCTGACGTTTCGGGCCTAGACCCTTCATCAGAAAAGGGGGAGGGGAAGGGGGTTTTGAAATAAACAGGGAGAGAGTGGGAGGCGG